GGCCACTGCGCTCCAGTCTGGGTGACCGAGTGAGACTCCAACTCAAAAAAAAAAAAGAAAGTAAGAAAGAAATGGGAGCTGAGAGCACTCTGGGGCCAGAGGGGTTTGGGCAAGGATGAATTGGAGGGGGCAAAATGAAGCCAGGAGGCCAGGGAGGCTGCAGTGAGTCTGGGTGAGGCGAGGGACTGGGCCAGGGCACAGAGGAGGACAGCAATGACGGGAGAAAGATCTACGGAGCAGCTGGAGGCGTGGTGGGAAGGGTGATCCAGTCCGTGCAGGGCCCCGCTTGGATAGCTCCGACCGAGAGGGGCTTTGAAGAACACAGCCTCAATCACTGAGCCTAGGAGAGAGGAAGAGACATCTTGCAGTCTGTTAAGGGGCTTCCAGGATCTGTCATCCACCCTGGACCGCACCCCTCCAATGCTAGGCTGTCAGAGTGCCTGGCTTCCCCCTCAGGTAAGAGATGGGGCCAGACTAGGGGTGCCCAGCCCCCAGGGACCCAGGTTGTACAGGAGAAGGCGAGCAGGCGGACAAGCAAAGCCTCACCTGTACTCAGAGCCTCTCCTCCCCGCCCGCATGACCGCCTGAGCTCCACCTCTTGTGAGATCAGCTGCTCATTAGATTCTCATAGGGCCAGGAACCCTACTGTGAACTGCACATGCGAGGGGTCTAGGCTGCGTGCTTCTTTTGAGAATCTAATGCCTGGCGATCTGAAGTGGAGCTGGGGCAGTGATGCTGTGTGTTTCATCATAGGTTATAATGGAATAATAACGGAAATAAACTGCACAGTAAATGTAACATATGCATTTGAATCATTCCCAAATCATCCCTCTGTCCACAGAATAATTGTCTTCCATGAAACCGGTCCCTGATGCCAAAAAGATCGGGGACCGCCGGGTTAGATGTCTCCCCTACATGAGTCATAGAAGGGAAGTTGTGGCTACCTAACGTCTCCAAGGCCAAGAGCTCGGGCACTGCTACTGATGTACTCTCCGGGGAAGGGTCCTGGACACCAAGGCAAGTCTGGGGGAGGCTGTGGTGGGCCCATCGACCCAGGGTGACCTGGTCTCAGAGGATCCTGTGGTAACCAAGGGTGCAGGGTCTCCCTGGGAGGGCACCCAGGCCTGGCGGTATAGTGTGGGTTTCCCCTTCCTCGGCAACACCACCCAAACCAAGAAGTGGAAAAATGCTCTCCAGAGGTGAGGCCGAGCTCGCTCCAAGTGGCTCATTCCCATGGGAGTCTAGGTCCTTGTGCTGGGGGAGGGACCAGACTGCACCATCAAAATGGAATTGGGGTATTTCATGGCCCTGAGGTTCCTTCAGAAACGGAATGGGCATGCTAGGGGTGATGGAAATAAACAGCTCCCTCTGGTAGGCACTTCTATTTCTTTTTTTTTTTTTTTTTTG